TAATTAAGACACAGTAAACTCAAATTCTATCCCATGACAGTGACAGCTAACCGAAGAGGAGAGACCTGTCCATGGAGCAAGTGTTGAGGGTCCGGTAATGCTAGAAAACTCAAAGTCAAAAATTTCATGCCCTTTATTAGCAGAAAAGGATTACTGATTGTTGGAATAGCTTGGCAAAAAGCTTCATCATCAATCACAACCTTTAAACCAAGACTGGAAGTCTTCCAAGAAAGACATCCACTAGATGAGCCACAAGCTAGCAGGCCTGCAAAGGTTCACTTACATTATAGAAAATAATTTCCTTTATTGCAGGAAGCGCTGCATGAACTCACCTCATCTATGTTATGTCAGATTAATTCATCACAGTCATTCCTTCTGGCCTTAAAAAAAAAAAAAAAAATCTACTGGCTTCCTTCTGGAGGAAGGAATGAAGCTGAAGCCAGATGCAGTCACGCTGGAGAGTGGACAGACGAGAAATCGGGCTCAGCAGCACCAGGTTGGGGGGAGTCTCACCCAGACCCTCTCCCTCAGCCCATCCTGGATGCATTCACTTTCCTGTAGCCCCCCAAAAACCCACCACAGGGTGCACAGGGGGAGTCAGGTGCTGGCTTCAGCAAGATGTGCTCCCAGGACCCCCCTGAGCCCCAAAGAGAGCAGGAAGGACAGAGGACGGAGGGAGGACGGAGGGAGGACGGAGGGAGGACGGAGGGAGGACGGCGCTACCCTGGATGCAGCAGGGACAGGGCAGTGAGCAGGCAGCCAGCCTGCACCATGCTGGGACACCGAGGAGCTGCTCCTTCCCTTCCCAGACCCTACAGCGACCCACAGGTTGAGGGGACAGGAGTATTTGGTGCCGTATTGCACTGCCCAGCGCCTGACCCCCAGCTGCCGATGGCAAAGGGCCCCGAGGGGCTGGGCTCAGCTGTGCTCAGCCCCCAGGCAGGATCCTGCCCCTCTGCCCCCGCAGCTGCCCACCACCGGGGCTGTAATGAGCTCTGGGATTTACGCTGGGATGGGGCTCGGTAAAGGTGAGGGCAGCATCATTAAAAAAACCAGCAGGGAGCGGCCGAGACTGAGACGAATCCCTCCCCAGTTCATCCTCAGCAAGGGCTCTCCTGCTTCCTCCAGAACCATCATTACGTGGATGTAAATCAAGGAGATATCTATCGCACTGGCAAACAGGCAGGTCTGACTGGAAAGGCAAGAACAGTCCGGCAGAGAGGACACACCATGCTGCAGGGACACAGGATGGGCACAGCGATGCCTCCCAGCATCCTCCATCCCTGACCTGCTGCAGGCAAGGGCAGGAGCAAGCGAAAGAACGAACCCAGATCAACGTGCAGGGGATGGGAGAGTCCCAGCCCCATCCCGGTGCAAAAGGAGCGTGGGGGGTTTGTCTTCTTCTTTGCTGCCATTCACGTTCCAGCAGTTAAGGCAAGCGAGTTATTCCATTTAGAGAAGCTTCAGTAGCTAACAGCAATTCAAACAGCTGCCTGTGCCTCGCCATTCTGTTCTTACCTCCTCCTTTCCAAGTGCTAACGCCGTTAGCAAATTGACTTCCTCCCTCACACAATCTGTCTGGCGTTAGCGTGTACAACGCTAATTGCTTCCTAATACTTAGGACCATCAGCAGGCAGCAGAAGTTTGTGCCACACACAAAAAAAAAACCCAACCCTCCAGCTAGGAACTGGTAGCACGCAGGGTCTGCATTCGGTCCCTCCATCCTCTGGTCCAGGTGAGGCAAACTGGCCAAGGGTGGGGAAATATTAGCAATTCAGAGCAGAAAGAGACACTTTTTTCTGCAATTCAGCCCGTTATGCTGGGAAGAACAGGGACAGTGGCTAAGAAAACATGCATATCACAGGAAGAGAGAAAGAAAAACAGGGATGGGGAGAGTATGCTGTTTCGAAGGGTCCTTGCTTCAGCTGCTTTCACTGACCTCTCCCTGTACCTCCCACCTCCCCTATTCCCTTTCTGGGACCTTTCTTTCCCGCCCCTCAGACTGCTCTCCCTTCCTTCCCCTCCATCCCCCAGCAGACCTGCTAACATAAACATCACCCAACATCCTTTAGGTTGCTGCAAAACTCAGAAAGCACACGAGGAAAGTGCCATTCCAAACAGCAACTATGCCAACAAGAGGTTCAGTCCCGTCCTTGCTGATAGCTGGAGCCACACTGTCCATCACAGCCCTCCAGCTCGTAATAACCATTAAAAAAAATAAATTAATCTTTCCTGCTCCAGGCATCTGGCTCCCCTCAGGAAAAGAAGGACACAATAAAAAGATGAAGGACTCTTTTAGCTCCCGCTCTGACCTCCTCAGCTAAGCAGCAAGAAAATGGATTGTCCCGGACCTTTCATGTAATCTTTCTGCATTTCTAAACCACAGCTGCCCACAGGATGCAAGCCCCGGCATTTACATTACAAAGAGCAGCGAGGCTCCTCCAGATGGGACATCTTCTCTTTGGTGATTTTAGCCATTAGCTTCTCCTCTCCAACACAGCTGGGCAACCCCAGAGCCCACGGATCGTTGCCCTGATACACTTATTACCGACTTCACTGTACCTGAAGATTTGTATCACAACATTTCAGCTTAATTTTTTTTTTTTTTGTATAGGATTCTCTGCAAATAAGATATTTACCTCCACATCCAACTCTTTCTATATGAAAGCATTTTTTGTTGTTCTGGTAAAAAGAAAAAAATTATAGTATGCTTCAAAGTATTAGTCATATTCTTTTTCCCAGAATGGGGCGTGCTATGCATTGCTGTACTCTAGTTCAGAGAAAGAAAAAAAAAAAAGGAAACAGACTTAGTGAATATAGTTGTTTACTGTAAAATAAGAGACAGAAAGTAAAAAGATAACTAATAGGTCCCTCTGTGGATTCTGCTACCAAGGGGGAAACACTACTCCCTACGGAGCTGCTGCATGTTTTATATTTCTTAATCACCAGGAAAAATGAAAGATCCACAAGCCCACTGAACTCTTCCCTTCCTCCCCCTTTAAAGATTTTCGGGATGAGCTCAGCTCTGAGTCATGATTAAAAACACACAGTTATGTTCCTAAGCTGCAGCGCTCAAATTGAGGAGTTGTTTGTGCTACCCGGTGCTCCCTGCTTCGCTGTTCTACACTACAAAGGAAACAGGGCGAGCTCCAAGCTATTGCTTGAAGATATTTTACAGTTTTCCAGGCTCTTGGGGAAGGAGATCAGTCTCTCCAGAGGAAGCAGGCAGCAGTGGTCCACCCCTCATCCCCATACTGCCCCACAGCTATCGGGATCGGACCAGTCGGTTCTGATGGAAAGGACACCAGGCAGCCAGGAACCCGGTCCGTGAGCCCACCTCGAAAGCATCCTTACTCCACTAAGACCCAAGCTCTGATTCTACTCTCCTGTAGTAACTCACCAGGCTGCAAAGCTTAAGAAAATAATTGGTAACAAACTGTGTCAGCCAGAAAAAAAATAAATTACAAACATCACCATGAAATAGTGCATCAATACTAATAAAGAGACAAAGACCAGACATTGCATTAAATCTCTGCTCACTGCTTTGCAGCTCTCCTTCTCAAAACCTTCTGCAAGAAGCAGACAGCCACGCTCACCAAAACACCTCCTGCCACTCCGCTTCCGATTCCTGTCAAGCACTGGTAAAGCAATTCTCTCTGCCAGAACTGCTGCTCTTCCTGCACTTCTTCATGGATAACTTCTTCTGTGTTTCCTTCCTCCTTGCTTGCTGCTAACTTCTGTTCTGAACTCAAGGATTTTTCAAAGTTCAGATCCACTAAGTCACTGTGGATCACTCTGACCCCAAAGTAGACCCTCTTGACGATTCTGAACGTCTTCGCCAGCCGCACGTCACATCGGTAAGTCCCTGCATCAGACTCCCGGGTAGGGGAAAATCTGACGACAGGACCACGGTTTCTGAAAGGAACGAACAATTCATTGCTCGTGGTGATAAGGCCTTGGGCGACCTTCCACGTATAGCTATAGGCTGGGCCACCAAGGCCAACTGGGTGCAGGGTCAGGCAGCTGAACTGGAAGGCTCTGCCCGTAGGGACGGTGAAGTGCAGTAAGCCACAAATCCAGTTGCTCACGCAGTGGGACCTTTCCAAGGTGCAATTCTTCCTCTCTCCGGCGGGAGTGACCTCGCACATCTCCTCCAGCTTGAAGCCCAGCCCGCAGGTGACGCTGCAGGCTGTGCTGTTGGTGGCAACTATTCCTACCGCTGACTTCAGCTCTTCGGGGATGATGATGTTTTCAAAGGAAACCACCAACGGCAGACAGAAAGCACAAAATAATATCCCAAGGACGTGGCTGTTCCCCACGGTCTTCATCTCAGGGTTATCAGTCAGACACGCTGCTATCTAAAGCTGGGCAAATTCAGAAGTCAAAAAAAACCCCAAACCCATAAATCCTTCTTTGTAAACCTTCAAACTAAGTATTTCCAAAATCCCACCAGCATCATCTTCAAGACGATCCTTCTGTTAGGAAAAATCCTCCAACAAGATGGGCTTGAAGTACAACACTGCTAAAGAAGATGCAACACGTTCCTACGTCAGAGTGTGAATCGTGAACTCCAGTTCTTGCCATAGGCCACCAGAATGTTTTCATTCACTATATTCCAGCAATTGGGACATATTTCACAATTTAAAAAACATTAAGTCCTCCCTTCTCTGTAAGATTTTTGGTACTATTTGAGATTAATTTCCACTGTAAAAAAGTACTGCTCCAGTTTAATTTTCCCACCAAACTATAAAATGATGTAAGTAATCATTACTGAAGCCTTTAAAGTAATGCTGTTGAGCATAAGGAAATCACAATTCCTTATGCAGCACCCGTATAGCTCTTACATATGTGAATCCCAAAATCTAAAGTACTCCCCAAATTACCAAGGTCACGAAAATGCCACTTCAACCTCTCGGCAGTCTGATGGGACTGAAATCAAAGGCAATCTGAAGAGTGTTTTATCACTGATGGTATCCATCTCAACACAGGGCTCAGTGAAGTCGCTCAAGTCTCCGTGAGCCCATGTTCCTGCGTTCCCAGGGGAGCAGGACCGGTGTCACAGCACCGCTGCCCGGGTCAGAATGTGGCCCCAAACATTCCGAGGGAGAACAAGGAACTCCCCTAAGCCTGAAGCCAAAGCGAGTCCTCCGAAGTGAGCACTCAGCATAAAAACATCGTATTAGTCTTGATATCCACTATGATGCTCAGAAGGGATTCAACAGCACTGGCCTCGCAGCATCACCCCGAGGAGCCCCGAGCTCTGCATCACATACAGCCACCAACTCTGAAGAGCGATCTGAGCCAAAATCTCTGCATTCAATTGATGCTTCTGTAAAACAGAAGCCATTTGTACTCCTACAACAACTCAGTGCTCAAGTGTCCCAAAAGAATAATCCATGACTAAAAAAGTTCTTTATGAAAAAAATCAAAGTTAACTTATTTTTGATGGCGTAACCGGACTGTGGTCAAGCGAGTTCAATCACCAGTGTCTCCTTACCAGCAACCGCCTGCAGAAAGGATTTGGATCACTCTGTTCTTCAACAGCTCTGCTAACAAGGAGGCACATTTCTTTTCCTACCAATCCTTCATTTACTAAAATGAAGACTTCAGAAGATCTAATATATGTATTTCCTGAAAAGAGATCAGCAACCAAACACCCCTCTGAAAACACAACCAGGAACACAGCAGGTGTGGGAAGGCACAACATGTTTGTGTCTGCAGCAGAGCTGTACTGTAGGATTCCTAAACATTGTCACAACAGAAACAATCCCAGAGATGGAAAAGCCCAGACTTACCCATGGACTTTAGGAAATAAAACATACCTCTTTATTTACAAACACAAAACCTAACATCACCACTATGTACTACCAGCATCAGTATCTGACAAATATTGTACAAAACTACAGATACCAAAAAACAAAATAAAAGGTGGAAGAAAATAAACCAAGGACATATACACTGTACAGAGAAGTTTTAACAGAAATGAAGGCTGGAGTCTGCGGCAATTTATATGCTTTAAAGTCATCTCAAGAACCATTGCCTGTGCATCTTTTAAAGCTTGTGGGCCCAGCCACACCACATATGGGTGGATTTGACACAACAGAGTTCCAGGAAAGATGCGAGTCACCCTACAAGCAGAAAGAACAAAGAAAACTGATACTGTACGCGTGGGAATGAATTTCATTAAATGAAGCAGGCCACTGCGCCAAAGCCGGAAATGAAAATACCACTTTTAAAAAAACCTTCTGATTTAAAATGTCTCTTGTCTTCCCATCCTTATATCTCATGCAACCACTGCATACTTCCAACTGCAAATTAATAAATCTCTTTATGACTCCTCTTCCTGGTTTTTAATGTCTGCAGGATACTTTGAAAATTTAAATACATAGTGATCATCTCAATAATTACATCAGGGGAAAACCTGAAAGTAATTGCATAGGAAGTATAAAAGTCTATAAAAAAAGGGGCAATTGGAACGAAAACTTTCTTTTAACAGGCTGTCAGTCTAGTACAGAGGAGTGTCAGGCTGTACGTACTGGATAAAGTGCCTCTTCCCTTTCCCACAAGGAAGATGTTACCACCACCTTTATGAAATAAAAAGTTAAAGCAAGGCTGGGAATAAGCAGTTAGCATTCACCTTTCTTCCATTCTTGATCCAGAAGTGGGAAAAAATCCTGAAAAACTACTGTTTCAGTCTGGAGAAATACTGATTCTGTTTTTTCTCTAACTGCCAGCTAAGGAGGAAACTAATTATTTCTGGTAGGGAATGGGAAACAGACAGAATAAAAACACTTGCAAGGACAGAAAAAAACTGCCAACACAGCTTTTCACAGCACAGGCTAGAAGAAAGCATATAAAGTATTTTATCTAGAGCTATTTCACTTGTTCCTTTTCCCCTAAGCAGGTCATCCTTCATGTCTAAAATATTCACAATATGAAGATTCATTCTCTGCAGACTTCTGAGGGTGTCTTGGTTCTTCACATTAGATCTCTATCCACTTGAGATGAAATCAAACCTGGCACAGAATCAGCAGCAGTGTTTCACTAAGCGTGTCACATCACACTGAGCTAAGAGAAAAGCTGATAAGGTAATGCAGCTGGCGTAGAAGGACTTACAACTCACCGAGATGAAAATTAACAGCAAAGAAAGGGAAGTTTGCGGGATACACAGTCATACGGCATCAGGAATAAAAATACACACTTTGGGTATTCTTCAATCCAGGAACAGAAAAAAAAAATATTTAAAAGCTAATGGCCAATAAGCTCTGGAGTGGCAGAGTGCTGGGTACCAGCTTGTTTAGAACCAGCTCTACACGTCAAGACAAAGGCAGTCCAGTTAGTCTCTTTGCAAATCGCACGACCTGAGAGTCAGCATCTTACACCGCTGGATGAAGAGGCAGTTAAGGAGGAATGAAGGCCGTTTCCTCTTCCATAATCATTTCTTACAAAAGTCACTCCCTGAATCCATGAACAATCAGTCTGCTGCGTTAGTCAGTCCACTCTGACTGAGCACTTCATCTATTTTCCACATTACGGTGCCAACAGAGGAAAGAATACAGGAAGATAGAGAAGAGTGTCTTCATAACAATTCTGAGATTGCACCACCTGCTAAAGAGATCAAAGACAGATGAAAGTAAGTAATCAGACTCAAACAGACGTTACCAGAAACCAGAGATCACCAAATACGGTAGCATTTCCAGGAAAAAAAAAAAAAAAAAGCAAGAGAACAAGATTTTCCAGATAAAGCCATTCTTTTCAGAATGAGATATATGCAGCAAGACACCGCCTATGACAAGAGCTCTAGTATTTCTGCGTTTGTATTTGAGATCCCGTGGACAAGGTGCCTAAGGAACTCTGAGCTCTGACTCCACAAAGTTGCAAGCAGACTTACCTGGTGTAAAATTTTTGGATTCCTCAACCCCAAGATCTCAGAGCACAACTGAAAACAACACGCTCCACCTAAATCTGGTTTAAACCAGCCTGCCGTAAGATTTTATTCTAAAACTATTAAATGGATCTAGCTTCTCGGTTTGTTTATACTGAAACCTGAAACACAGCAGCTCTGAGGGTAAGACACGCAGTGCCAGGCTGCACAGCACAGCGACGCGGACGCACTTGCAGCAGGCTCCAGGTCCTGGCCACACAGCTGGCTTCTGTGGTGGCTTCAGCCACCACAAACAGTGGAGAAAGGCTTGTGTGACTGTTTGAAGCAACTCGTGAGTTACTTTGGAAAGCAACAAGGAACTAGCAGAGTTAGCAGCTTCATGCAGGAGAGACGGGTAGGGCAGCCTGGCTCAGGACCCCAGGCAGGTGGCCAGCTGAACCTGGAACGTGTATTTGCACGTGGTGGAACACCAGCAACCCCAACAGCAAACTGGCTGCCCAAAATAGGGACTGTGAGTGCAAGCTGTAAAGAGAACAAAGGAAGACAGACACAAACTTCACGGACTAAAAGACTCCTGCAAGTTTGGAAAGATCTGAGTGACAGTTTCTTTCAGGGAACAATCTGTTCTCCTCGTACCATGACTCACACGGATACTTCCAACACTGACTGCGGAGATCCACCGCGTGGATCTACATCCTCTCAACAGCACCGCAGACGGGAGCACAATAATAAGTCCTCACGAGAGACAGCAGTCCATCACAGGAATCTGAATTATTTGCCTATCGCTCAATCAAGCTAAGGAACACCACCACGGAAAACCCTTAAAGTGCTCACAGGCAACAAAGACTAAAAGCAAATTTTGGAAAGCTCTGCCATCTCCAATAGATGGGTAAAGGAAGTACGGAACTTGGGACTAAACCTGTTTGTTCATAAGAAAATCAAACGCCCATTTTACAGTGTCCAAAACCCAAAGGTAACTGTACTGGCGCAGGTATGCACATCCCCAGCTCAGCAGCACTGAATTCCACTCTTGTCTTTCACAGCAAGTCAGACTCCGTTACAACTACTGCACGGGAGCATTACAAGCAAAACCACACAAAAATCCTCCCAAATATGGCTTTGCAAGGATGTGTAAAAAAACGAGTCTGTCTGGAATGTTGCTTCATCTGAAATGTGTGAGGGGAAATGGGAGTATTGTTTTTCCAGCTCTCAGAACAGACCAATGCAACAGTGATCACAAGCTGCTGGAAGAAAGTACACTGAGATCTGTCTGCAAATGGAGATCAAGCAAATTTGTAACACAAGATGATTACAAAGTTACACAGACATATCTTGAAAAATCTGAACAAAAATACCTGCTATTAAAACCACTTCTCTGAAAACAGACTGCTTGTACAGCTACTTAAACATGGAAAAGTCAAAATATCCCATTTTTGGAAGCAAATGACTGAAATCCGTTTTAGAAGCCATATTGTTAAGTTTCCAGTGCATGATCCTTCCTCATTTATATCCTTTTACATATGCTCATGTTAATTAGCAGCGTGATAAAAGAAAGCAATCAACGGGCCTGCCGATGAACCTAACGGTTATGCTCGTTTGGTCTTCAAACCCCTCTTGTCCACCCAGCACGGCACGAGAGAGCGGTCAGGATGCATAACAGGTGCCAGCAAAGACACCTGAGGATCCACACCATCCAGATAATTCCTTACTATCCTACTTTAAAACGTACTGGATGCCTCCTAATGACTTGAGGAGTCAAAATAGAATCACCTCATTGTGTAAATCTGACCCTAGAAGCTACTCAGCATTAACAAGGGGGTACAAGCAAGGTCGAAGGATATTCTTGGCTGTCTGTTTCATTTCTGGATTTTGCAAGGTGCAGTGTGAAAGGATTATATGGAAGCCCAGAAAACATCCATCACTTTTCCCCCCGTACAGACTAAGTTTCTTTTATCACATTCCTTTTTTCTGCAGATAGCAATGATCAGTACAAGCAACGCAACAGGAGCTGAGCAGGAAGGACAACGAGCAAGGTGGGCAGCATAGGACCAGCAGTGAGGAGAGGAAGGAGTGGGAAAAATAAAATCACTTCTGTATTGTCTAAAATCCACAGCAGCCGCTGCTGAGTTCAAGGAAATGCAAAATTTGATATATCAAATACATTGTCTGTTTGAAACTGTTTATATATCAACCCTGAGTACTTCATTACAACCTAAAAAACCCCCAAAAAACAGAGTCCACATCACTTAACCCAAACATGTGCTTTCTTTCCTACACTGGAATGAACTTTTTCCAAGTAAGATGCTGATGTAGCAAACAAGACAGATGGGAAACATTCAGTCTCTCTGAGACTAGGTCTGGGCCCCAACAGAGGCGACTGCAACAGTTCTGTTCTAGTATGCAACCAACAAAACATAACAAACACCAAAAAAAAGTAGAAAAGACCACCAAAACCTCGCAACCAACAAAACATAACAAACACAAAAAAAAAGTAGAAAAGACCACCAAAACCTATCCTCACTTACAGCAATTGGACGTTCTGGAATTTAACTAAGGCTGCTGTATAGCTAGGAATAGAAAATTCAACTCCCAGATTTTATCTCAGGGTTGATTTATCAAATGGACCATTATCAATGCTCCATTTCCTGATTCTGCTTACAGAATTTTTTTGTTCTTCATCACTCTGTCTTGTATTGATGGCACCAAAACGTCAATTTAAGCTTCAGAACCCTTCACTATTTACATTATTCCCCATCAAGATCTACCCAGCAAAACCAAACATGATTTCTATTTACATAAAAGTTGATAGAAGCTGTTGAAAAGACTAAAGTCATCAAAAGATTTTTTTGCTTTTGAAATAGCGCTCAATCTCTACTAAAAACCCTACTTGCTTTTTATATGCAATAACACAGGCATAGGTACCAGCTGTATTAAAAATGTTAAATGCTCTTCTACTTTAAAAAAATGTAAATTTTTGCCTATCCTTGACAGCAGCTAAACGTTTAGTGAGTAAGTGCCACTCGGGAGGATAAGATGCTAGGACTGTATTAAGTCAGGGTCTGTACAAAGCAAGGCCACCAAGCAAGCCAGCGACGCTCCCGTTGGGTTCTCCTTACCTGTCAAAGGCTGTCCCAGCTCCGCCTGCACTTTACCCTTCGCTGCTCCTTCCAGAGGTAAAGCACCTCTGTCCCCTTTGTAGAGTTTCGGTTTAAATGGAGAATCTTTGTCTTTACCTTTTGATCCTTTAGGCCTGCCTGCTTGCTTCTTCTTGGATTTACCATCTCCCTTCACACCCAGCAGCGGATGGACTTCTGCGGAGAGACAAAGCGTCACCAGAGTGAGTTATCTCTTGGGATGCTTCTATCAGCACATACATCATTAAAAATAAGGATGCCTTTACTCATTCCTAGCTCGCAAAATACCAGCAAATTAGCAGAGTTGGTGGCTCTCAATAACTGACTTCAAAGGAAGGAGAAAAACGAAGGAGTGACCTTCTGGTCTTCAGACAAAGCTAAGGCAAAGCTAAAAACCACCTCAGACGCAGGACAGGCACTACAACAACGGCAGCTTCTACGCACCATCGTTAGGTACTCCTTGTAGTTCAATGTTGGTGGTTTTGGGCTTCTTCTTTGGTGCCTGAGGGCCGTCAGAGGAGGACTGCCTCTTCTTCTCAGAACCTATTCCCTCATCAGTTAAAGAACTCTGAACCGCATCTGGTGGAGGGCCATAGGGGTTTTCTTCTGGATCTTCAACTTCAGGAGCAATGGGTAAGTAAAGCAGAGCCTTGGAGTCCTCCAGTTCTTCATCGCTGTGAAGGAGAAAAATTTGCTTTCATGTAAAACTAGGGGTTATGATAACGTATTATCCAGGGAATATTAGTGATATGCTTTGCATTCATACTTTAAACAAAATATTCTTTCACCTGCTACAGAAGGCAGCAATGGGATCCACACTAGTTACATCCACTTCTTCATCTTCTGCAGCATCAGCACCTGAGAACCAGGGAAAAAAGACAAATTAAAGACAGTAAGGAAAAGACCAAATTACTTAGAACAGGACTGACTGTGGTTGAACATCTAAGCACACAGAAGTAAGAATTAAAGCAGAAAACAAACCTAAAGTATTTCTTTGTAAATCCATCAGGTTTTTATTTTATTTTTCTATGTTCTCACACAGACCTACTGTTATAAAACACCAGTAATAAAACTAGATAAGAGATTTAAAATCTTCTGTTTTGTTGTTTTCACTAAGCTATCTCTAAATCTGATGAGATGCATTTTAATGCTTAATTCCCACAAGCCTATATTACACTTAAATATTAGAAATGGCTAAACAACAATTAATCTAAATGGGAGAAGTGCTGTAAAACCCAGTAATGAGGAGAGCTCAGGATGTGCTGGGAATCACCCTTCTCTCTTCCAGTTTCACTGTAGCCTTTCACCGTAGATGAGTTTTTGGCACCACCACGTGGCCAGGCTGCGCTGCCACGGACTCAGATCCAGCCCTGCTGCTCCTGAGAGCAAGCCTTGTACGAGGATAGATGTCTATTTGCTTCTGCTTTCTGCTTAAACACACACTGGAGAGGGGAGGTATTTCTAAAAAATCTTGCATGTCAGTTGGCAGGAATCGTATCGATTATGTTCGTTCATACATCTTCATTTACTCCCTCCTGTTTTGTCACTCAACGCCCATGTGTGCTACCACGACCACTGCTTTTAATTTTCACCATGCTCATGTATTCAGACTGCTAATTATTTGCTATGTAGAAACACAGTTTATGCCATACCTGTCTGTTCTGGTTCACTCTTATCTTCATCTTCAATGTCAAACTCTGACTCTCTCTCTTCATATTCTACGTTTTCATCCAGTTCTTTGAAGTCAGGCGCAAAGGCACTCCAGTTTTCCTAAACCACAAAAACGGTGTTTACCTTATGCAAAGGAACAGCAGCCGTAGGACTCATGCAGTGACAATCTCATTCTGCATCAAAATCCTCCAAGCCACACACCAGATCACAAAAAAAACCCAAAAAACACCAAGCCTCATTTAGGTCTGCAGTCACACAGCAAATTAGGAACTGCACAAGTTAGTTCCTACTGAAAATACAACGTTGCAATATTCCTTAAATACCGCAAAGTACATCATAAAGCAAAGCTGTACGTTCACATTTAGCCACTTCAGGTTTGGCTCGCTCACTCAGAGTTCCTGTACCTAAACAACACCTTTAGAAGGACACCACTACCACATAAAATGACCCTGGGATGGTATTTAAGACAATAAAAAACTCGACTAGTTCAGCAACTGAAGTGAGTCCCCTCCTCACACTCAACGTGATGGCAAACATATGACAAGTTAGGCAGGGGAACTGAAAAATCTTGTTGAATGGGGATCTAGTAAAGGATTTAGACGCGCAATCATTCAGCCTGCTAGGATGGAGACCACTGGGGCATCCTCTTAACGAAACGATTTAAAACACTTACCACTTGATTCTGAGCCCATATTGACACAACACCACTCGAAATAGAAGCTATGATCGGTCGGACAGGATGCCACTAGATTTGAAAGAGAAAAGAGGAGAAGCTTAATTAGTAAATTAAATTAAGAAAGCTCAGTTTTCAAATTAACAAGAAACACAATAATAGCAGATGGTTTTCTTACTGCTACATCCAAGAGCAGCTCTCCTCTGGTGCCGTGGAGGATTTTCACTAGGTTTCCAATACTCTTCTCCCAAATGTACAGGGCGTGCTGCCGTGCTGAACCTGCCACTATGTATTCACCGTCACCAGAGAAACAGCACTTCTTCCACGGCGTCCTGCGTGCAAAAGCATCAGATATTAAACAGTTAAACAACAGCACAACACAGAGGATGGAGGACAGCGGAGTGGGCTTGTTCTTCAGACTGAGATCTTACGTCCTCCCATCCACCAACAGTATTTAAACTTCAAATCAAACTGTGACAGACAGGTTTGAAATGGAAGCATCTGTCCACTACGCTGCGTAAGATACTGAGCTACCCTTCATCCAGAGACCCCCACTAGGGCCGAGCACACCAGCCCCACCTTTTCAAGTCAGCCTGACCAGCAATTCTGCTGCCTCTTACCTGTTCACTAAATCCTGCAGCTTCTGCATGGGTTCAGGCTCCCCATCTCGTCCACAAGTTAGAATTTCACGGCCATCGTACACCCTGATTATCCGGTCAGCTGTGTTTATTAAAAAGCAGCTGCAAGGAGGGCACAGAACATGCATTGCATTGAAAGACTAAGAAAATAAAACGAATCAGAATGTGCTCCATAAAAGAACTGGGGTTTTTTTTAAGACCTCGTACGCTCTGCCAATCTACCCTATAGTTTTCAATTCATCTTTAAAGGTATCGCTTGACAGATGAGGTAACTCACCTTCCTTTCCGAGCAAACTCAATTGATTTAATCGCTGTGGTGTTGCTGGTTCCAGTTGTCACTCTGAAGGAAGCAACAAGATCCTGAGTGTCTGTTTTTAAGACCAAGATCTGAAGAGTAAGGAGGCAGAAGGCAATCAGTGTCTTCATTGTAACTCATTCCCCTTTTGGTACCTTTCACATCAGCTACTAACCCTGACAACAGAAGCCTCAGCAATCTACACAGGAATAGTTGGGATTCTGGAACTGTAGTTCTACTACAGTTTCTGTGACAGTTCTGCGACATAAACATCGGTTTATTTACACTGGAAAAGGATCCAACAAATATGGTCAAAGACAACAGCAACACAAAGACCTAACTCAAAGACTCTAATCTAGAGACCTTCAAAGATAAAGTGTGATGTTTTATTTAGAAGATCATATCAACACAATATCAATTATTCAAGAGACATTCCAGGAAAGCTTATTTGTATATTAAAACAAAGAACGCAACCCAGAAATGTTAAGCATCTTGATAAAGAGCAGAAATAATCTAAGCTATTGCATCCAGTGCCGCCTGCTAAGTCTCACCTTCCCCTTGGCATTGCCCGTATAAATGTATTCCCCTCGCCTGTCAAAGGAGGCCACGACATTGAGATCGGAATCATCATCCACAGGTAGGACAACGTGTTTGGAGTCTGACAGCGTTAGCATCACCGGCGCCGACTTCATGGGACAAACCAAAACTCTGTTTCTGCAAAGCAGGAAAATAAGTGTTAGTAGTTTATTCTCTTTAAAAGAAGTTTCCACGTTTAAAAGTCAGAAAAAAATCTCAACCTATATCACAAAATACAAAATACTTCTGTATTTTATTATTTTATTTCATCTTTGTTACTTTAATCACAACACGGCATTAAGCTGGTGTCTTTAAATCCCGGTAGGGTTCCAATCACAAAAAGAAAATACACTGACAGCATCTACTAGATTTAGAAAAAAACACTTTGCAAACTGCAATAAAAACATTTTAATAATCATTAGCTCTAGCAAAATGAGAACAGTTCTACCAGAATGAGAACAGTTCTACCAGAATGAGAGCATCCAACCCTTTTTTCACAAGACTTACTGGTCTCGAGGGTGGTACTGAACTTTCAAGATAGGCGAAGGAAATCGAAATCTCTGGTCGCAGTCGCCAGAGAGCACATCCCACTGCGACACAATGTTGTCGGTCGAGGCACTCACCAGCTTGTGACCATCTCGACTCCAGCTGCAGTAATGAAACACAGTTCAAGTAGAAGTTACTCCTTAAATACATAAAACATACACCCACCAATAGTCAGTTTAAAATGATCAGACTAAGGTCCAAACATTAATCCCTTAGCCTAAAAAATAACCTTTGAGCTCCAACATCCAAAAACTTAATAGGTGTAAAATATTTACAAATTTCCTCAAAGGAAACCATCCTGAGATGTAACTGACCATCCCGCGAGGGGCTGGTGCTCCAGCAGCCAACCCGCCCAGGTGCTGTCAGGGGATCAGAGCAGCAAGATCAGAGCTCAGCAAGCACAGGCAGGGGCAAATCCTAACAAAACCGAGAATCACACCTAGTGACAGGCTAGGAGCAAAAATAAGACTAAACACCGAATTCACCCCGAGGCTTTGCTCACCACAGCGAGCAGACGGGGTGAATGTGAGCGCTGATGATTTTGGCGATGCCCCTGGTCAGGAAATCCCAGATGACGATGCGCCCGTCGTTGCAGCCCACGGCCAGCAGCGTGCCCCAGCGGTTGAAGGTGCAGGTCAGGGCCATGCTGATGCAGTCCAGCGTCCCGTCCGCCTCCTGCGGGGAGAGGGCACC